AAAAATTTTATGCACACATAAAAATTCAAACTCAAGACTAGGGGTGTAAATGAGCCGATTCAAGCTTGAGTATTATCGAGCTCGACTCAAACTCGAAAACTTTAAATGTAAGCTCGACTCGACTCGAAAACTCGCAAGCCTAAAATTTTCAAGCTCAACTCGAACTCGAAAAGACTCGAACTCAAAAATAATTCGAGAGCTCAACTGAAGCTCGAGATTCGAGCTCGATTAAAACTCGATTTTGAGCTTGATTCAAGCTCGAATTAAACTCGATTCAAGCTCGAATTAAACTCGATTCAAGCTCGAATCAAGCTCAAATGCTCACCGCGCGGCTCTGTAAATTAAACCAATGCGTTTTGGATTTAATTTATAGGATCACTTATGGAGCACTTGCTTCTATCTTAAAGATGTGAGATATCAAGACTTCCCTTCAAATTACTATCGCTTTCTTGTAATCCAAACGCCACTTTTCTCTCATCAAATTATCATACCGATGGCTCGTACCAAGCAAACTGCCAGGAAATCAACCGGCGGCAAAGGTCCATGCAAGCAGCTAGCCAAGAAGGCCGCTAGGAAGTCGGTCGACCAGGACGGAGGACAACAGCTGAGCCTGCTAGAAAGGGCCTTACTTGCAATGCTTTGTTTGGTCTTGGGTTGCCATAACTTGTCGTTATTGCTGGAGTGGCTGCTCTTGTGTTTGGACCTAAAAAGTTGCCTGAAGTTGGCAAGACTATTGGGAAAACTGTTAAGACTTTTCAGCAGGTTTGTCGATTTCCTCACCTGGGTTTTTGCTCAATATGTAAAATGAACAAGAATTTGAATCCTTTTCTTCCTCTGTTCAAAAATGGTTCCATTGTTATTGGGTTGTTCTAAAAATGGAAGCTTTGGTGTTTTCACTGAGGAACCTTTAGGGGGAAATGAAAAGTGAGGAAATTCTTTATTGTTGTTTAACTAGGTGAGCAATTAGAACATTCAGATGGCTTTTTATGGTGTATTGATTGAGATTCAAATTTGAGAGATGATTGAGCTAGGAAATGATAAATTTAATTTGATTGTTTCTTAAACGTCCCATGTTCTGCATTTGAGTGATATTTGACATTTCTTTGAATCATAACTGAAGGTAGCTCTACAAGCTTGGTTTCCTTCGAATCATTACTGAAATTTCATCTGTAGATCAATAATAATGATTATTGAGTTTTAGTAACTTCAGTATTATACATTTTTTACTACCATTCATGGTACACTCATTGTCTTTGTGGAACTTTATCTGAATAAGTAAGGTTGCTAGTTCTACCAGAAGTGTTCAAGTTGCTAGCAGAAGTTTGTAGCACTGTCGGATGGCTTGTTGTTGGTGAAGTCTTTATTTCAAACACAGATTAATCACATAGCGAGAATGAAATAAATAATAACACTAAAATACATTTGTTCTACTAAAGCAATGTATAATACTAATGGAACTAAAATAGAAAAATTATGTACCTTCTTTCTTGTGTCCTGTAAAAAAAGATAGTAGGAAATCCAAGTGTAAGACAACTCTGTTTTCTTAGGAGTTTCGTGTTTAAGGTAAAATCACTACGTTATTTCAAACTGACATCATGTAGTTTTCTAGGGACGAGTTATTACTTGATGGTTCCTGTTAGTGAAATTCCTATTCTTATAATGAACTATGTTCTTTTGGAATCCCTTAAGATTTTATTTCTTTTGAAACTATTTTGCAGTCTGGAAAGAACAGAGCAATCCGTGGAGAATTCCACAGCCGTTAGTGAAGAGAAGAAACCAGATCTTGAGGTCTCTAGCTCAAAGGAGAACGTATGAGTTCGCGAAACCATTATTTAGTCGATAATTTTTCTGAACTCGTTTCTCTGTTGTACCGATGAACATTGAACAAATAATTTTGAATGTATATTGGTTATGTTAGTGATTGTTTAATTAAACAGTTAGACAATCTTTCAATACACTTGTTTCCGGTAATATTTTGACTGTTGAGTTGCTCATATAATTACAGGAATACAGGAAAAGGGGGATTTGATTCACAATTTACATGAAAAAAAGAGAGGAAAACGTTGTTATGAACTTCATATGTTTTCCTTTTGTACATATTTCATAAGGAAATAAACACAAACACGTCAGACTGTACATGAAAATATGTTTTTCTTCTTCCTTTTTCAGGTTATGCCTCAGAAAAAAAAATCAAGGATCAATCTTCTTTGTTGCTAAATGAACAAAGAACAAAAAAAATTTATGGATCCAAGCTTCTTCTTTAGATAGCCTCAAGTTAAAAGAGTTTGATCTTTTTCTTCATGAGTTCATATCATCATGTTGGTGAGTCAGTGCTTGAAAGAAATGACGGTGTCGATAGTCATCATTAATATATGATAAAAATCATGTCTTAATCAACAAGTTGTGTATATTTATTTTTGCATGTTGATATGTTTATGTATAAGTATATGAATGATATATTTATGACTCACATAACATCATTTTGCATAATTTGTATGTTACCCTCATGTGCATAACTTAACCCCTATCACATAATCGGATTAAGATTTTAGGGTTTAGAGTTTAGTATTTAGGGTTTAGGGTTTAAGGCTCATTACAAATACATTAATTAATCGAATTGGTACCGATTTATGAGATAAGTACAATATAATATTTTGACATTAAATGCTCAAACCTTTGATATTTATGATATTTGAATCCGAAACCTCAAAATAATACAACAATTTAAATAATTAGTTATTAAAAATATTATCATTAGGAATATATTTTTAATAAGGGTTTTGTTAAATTGTTTTTTTTAATTTTAATAATCTTTTTTCTATAATTGATATGTCTTGTTTTACTTTATATGATACATGTTAGTAGTAGGGACTAGTGATGATCATTTTCTCTCAAATATGATTTGATGCCATTAATTTTGTTAATTAAGATATTAATGTAAGTCTAAATGAGTTTTTTCTTTCTTAATTCTTTATAAAATCGGTTACACTCTATTTTGATTTATTTTTTTAAATTATTAATATTTAAATTGAATCATATTTTTATTTTATTATATTTTTAAAATTTTATAGAATTTTTAATATATTTTGAAAATTTTATATAATTTTAATATATTTTTAAAATTTTATAATTATCAATAACGTATTTTTAATTTATTTTTAATAATGTAATTTTAAAAAATCTAAAATTATAATATAATATTTTTTTCGAGGTGTTCACGAGCTTTTCGAGTCGAATATCGAGTAGCTCATTTCGGCTCGTTAAGAACTCGAGTCGAGCTCGAGCTCGAGTCCATTCGATCTGAGTATTTATCGAGCCTTGATCGAGTCGATCTCGAGTAGCTCGCGATCTGTCTCGACTCATTTACAGCCCTACTCAAGACCTTACTTAAACGATATTACGTTTCATTATTTACTTTCGCTTTCATTAAAAAAAATATTCAAAACATAAGAAGAAACCAATATATTATGTTGGATGGTGTAAATTAATTAATTTTATATAATTGCTGACGAGGACCTTTGTCTTTATAACATAACATTGTTTACACTTAACACCAACAACTATAAATAAATATAAAATTAATTCTCAGCTGCACATGCAAGCAAATGAAAGTTCTTAGAAATGATGATAGTTTAAAATATTGGTAAGAGTAAATTATCAAAATAGTCACTTATGTTTTATAGCTACTCATTTTTTGTCATCAAAATTTAAAGAAGAAACATTTTCGTGATTTACATTATTATTTCATAATGTTTTAGCCACTAAATTGTTAAATGTCATTAGCTTGATAACATGATACGTTAATAAATATGAATTAATTTTTTAAAAATTAATTTGACCTTTAAACTTTAGAATATCAAAGTCTCCTATCCACCGTCCGTTACTCACATTTTGAACACTAAGCTAACGCGCTCAACGCTATACAATAATAACTCTACTATATTACATTCATGTAAAAACATAACCATACCAACAAGTATAGCTTGAGAATCAATATCATCAACATAACACAAGTCAATAGACACATGTAAGCATCAAGATGAGGTTCGATGTCACATAGCCTCAAAAGCATACATTCCTCTAGCCTACTATAACATCATGTACTTTGGATGAGACCCATATCACTCATGCATAAGGAACATATATCCAATGACCCCACAAATATCAAATACCTTGGGTAAGGTCTAGGTTCATTCTCTCGGATGAAGTCTAGGTCACACAACATTAGAACATCCGAAAGAAAGAAAAGAAATGAGAGAAATGAAGTCTAAATTTACAGTGCATCAACAAGACATCTGAAAGGCCAAAGTTATCAATCATAGTTAAAATATAAGATTTGACGATCATATTTATTTAGCGTACAGTGCATCGACAAGACATCTGAAAGGCCAAAGTTATCAATCATAGTTAAAATATAAGATTTGACGATCATATTTATTTAGCGTACTGACATACGAGTAGCCATAATAACCATATGATTGACACCATTAGCTAATGTAACTATATATACATATCAGCCACGACTGAAGGAAGGGACTTTCTCATTATATCCTTCATAGAGATCTTATTTTATCCTTGTGCATTTATCTGTTTCATAGAAAAACATTGACTAATGATTGTTATCTCATCGATTGTGATTCTCCATTTAAATCAGAAGGGACAAACCACTAATAACCGAAGTGGTAAAGTTATTCTATCAACAAGACCGAATACATGAGATTTTTAAAATTAAAAAAAAACACTAATTTTAATCTATTCTTCGATTCAAAATGGAGAATTATAGAATATATGAAATAATGAACCTTTTGTAGCATCAAGGTTCAATGAATAAAAAAATTGAACAGTTGCAGCACTTCAAAAACGTGATTAAAATATGTTTTGAGATCTCAAGCATCAGCAACTTCCTGGAATTATCAAAAGGAAACAGTAATAATAGTTTAATACCAAAGTTTCAATGTATATAATAATCAAACCCCAAATAGGAGGAACTCAACCAATTCAGCTCCTTTGTAGCAACAAAGCTTGATTTCGATATCTCCAAGAACACACACAAATATGTACTGTGAGAGTGGTTCAGAATTTGATCTCAGCCTCTTGGAAACTATTCGTCAGTATCTTCTGGAAGATGATTTCGATACGTTTCCAAGTCCAGCACCGTTTGTTGAAAATGTAGCGGAAAATGATGCGATTAATGTTGATCAATGGATAAGCTTTGATCAGTTGTTTGAAGCGGCGGAGGACACGGTTGCTGTTAATAACGTTTCGTTTTCCAGTTCCGAAGTGACTTCTGAGGTATTGGAGACTACTCCGACTGCGAGTGTGTCTGAATCTCACGCGCCGCCGAAGAAGGTACATTATAAGGGAGTTAGGAGAAGGCCGTGGGGGACGTATGCGGCGGAGATAAGGGATCCGAAGCGAAACGGTGCGAGGATCTGGCTTGGTACTTACGAGACTCCCGAGGATGCTGCTCTGGCTTATGACACTGCGGCTTTTAAAATGCGAGGTGCGAAAGCGAAGCTGAACTTTCCACACCTCATCGGCTCCGATCGGGTGGAGCCGGTCAGAGTAACCAATAACAAGAGAAGATCTCTGGAGCCGTCATCCTCTTATTCATCAGCTCAGTTGCCGTCATCTCCGTCGTCCACAGTGACGTCGGATGACAGAACTCCAAAGTCGAAACGGAGGAGGAATGAGATTAATTGTTCGATTAAAGCTGAGTTTGAACCAGACATGTATCAGTTGATGAAGCCAACTGGATTTTGATAAATTGCTATCTGCTAATAATTGAATTGTACATATTTTATTAATCATTCCTGTTTTAAATAGAAATGTTATTTGTTTTATCTGCTAACATTCCCCTGCTTACAGCTTATATTCCCATGGTTGTACTTGACTGACCATCTTCCATTATTTACTTTCACCTTGACATTGGAAGATATTCAAAACTTCAGTAAAAAAACAATATATTATATTGGATGATGTTAATTAATTATATATAATTGCTGACAAGGACCTTTGTCTTTATAACATAACATTAGTAAGTACACTTAACACCAACAACTATAAATAAATATAAAACTAATTCTTAGCACATGCAAGCAAATGAAAGTTCTTAGAAATGACGATAATATGACAGGTTAGTAAAATGTGTTAACTTTTTAATTAAATTCTTAAACGTTAGATAAAATATTAATTTAACCTTTAAATTTTATAATATCAAATTGTCCTTTAAATTTTAGATAAAATATCAATTTGAACTATGAATATGATCAAAGTCTCCTATCATTATATGTTGCTCACATTTTGAACACTAAACCTACGCATTCAGTGCTATACAATAATAACTCTACTATACTACATGTATGTCAAAACATAAGTATGTCAACAAGTATAGTTTGAGAATCAGTATCATCAACGTAACACAAGTCAATACACACATGTAAACATCAAGATGAGTTCGAAGTCACATAGCCTCAGAAGTATACATTCCTCTAGCCTACAATAACATCATATAGTTTGAATATCCAGGTCACTTAAGCATCAGGAACATACATCCAATGGCCCCACAAATGTCTAAGTACCTTGAGTGAGGTCTAGGGTAACCATAACATTAAGAACGTACACATGGTTAGCCTATTGTGCGTGAATATCTCGGATGAAGTCTAGGTCACACAACATTAAAACATGCAACCAACTAGCTTATTTTATATGCCACGACATAACTCTTAAGAAATGTGGATAAGCACCATATAAGATATATAATCATTGTACACAAATAATTTGAATGTCCTTGTTACTTTCTTGACCAACAAACAAAGACATAAATTTTATAAAATCTTACATCATAATTTTTTATGCTTAAAAATAGTTTATTATCAAGTTTTAAATATTATTAAAGCTTGTTATACACCCCCAAGTGCTATTAAAGCTTTATTCACTCAAGGTTTGTTCACTCAAAACAGCTAGCTCTCACTATAATTTTAGTACTCATACACTAGTATAGGTACTAAGTCCAGAGGTATCTATACTCTCGGTATTGATATTAAATTCAACCTTGATATTCTTAAAATTCTTACAGATATCGATACATCCACCTAAAGATTGGTATCGATGTTTGATTATCGATACTCTTCTTAAGTATCGGTACTAAATCCAAGTTTTGGTATTTTCAAACCCCAATGGATATTGATACTCCACTACAGCAAAATAGGTTTTGAGCGACGTTTTTTTAGTCATATAGCGACATTTTTAAGCGCCACTAAAAACCTATGTGGCTCAAAAACAAACGCCACAAAAAATGTCCCTATAACAAACGCTACAAAAGGTAGCGGCGTTTGTCGTTCACAAACGCTGCTAAAGATAATGATATTTAGCGGTATTTGTTTTTCTAAACGCCCCTAAAGGTTATGATATTTAGCGGCGATTTTTCCAAACGTCGTTATTTATCTTTTCTTTTGTAGCGTTTTATCACAAAAACGCCTCTAAATGTTCTAACATAAATTGGCGTTTGTTCCCAAAAACGCCGCTAAATGTTATGTCATATAGTGGTGTTTGTGAATGTAAAACGTCGTTATTGACTACGTATATAGTGGTGTTTTCTGTATAAACTCCGCAAAAGATCTAGAACTTTAGTGGCGTTTTTCAAAAAATGCCGGTATTGACTATGTATTTAGTGGCGTTTTTTATACAGAAGCCGTGAATTTACGGTGTGTTTTGTAAAGTTTTAATTAGGTGAATGAAATTGGATTGTTTGATACACGATGTGTATATGTATAGGTGCGTTATTCTATATTGGTAACGTGTAGATATTATATAAATTCAAGTCAAGTATCCGAGGCATAGAAACCAACTTTGAATGTGTTAATTGAAACTAGGACTTATCTAACATTATCCAAAGTTATTGTGTGCAAATATTTTTATTAACAATTCAAAGTTTACGATGGTTAATAATCTAAATATTCGAGTTCTGTAACTGTATTAAGAGCAAATGAGACTATATTAAAGAGTATGTGGACAAACTTGTATTCAATTTCTTGAAGTTCTTGATTAAACAGCAATTAAACAAGGAATAGTATTGGATGGAAGGAAGCCATTACTTAGAAGTTGGTGTTGTTGATTGCTAATGGCATGCGTCTACAGCTTCAGCAACAGTGAGGAAAATGCAATCGGCTTCAATTTTCTCCACAAGTTTCGATAGCTTTAGCTTGCGGATCACTTGCCACCTCAAATTTACAATTGCCAACTGCGGAAAAATATTATATCTTAAAAATTAAGTAATTCCAGGGATAGGTATAAAGATTACAATCTCGATCGTTGAGCTTACTTTTATGCCTCGTGAAACCAGATTGGTGTGCAGTTCTTCGAGTGCCAGAAATCCAGAAGTGTCAATGTTCAGCACATCTACCACAAAGGAGACATACTCTAAAATTGTCTCTCTTTGCCCCTTTGTTTTGTAAACTGTAAGATAATTATTTAAACTCACTGGTCATGTCGAGGATTAAGATTTGAATTCTGTCGTTTCCAGTTTCTTCTGCTCCATTCTCATATTCTGTCACTAACCTTGTTATTCTGAAACAACGAAATGCGATGTTATGTGGAAGGGGAAAGGTTTCCACACAGGGTTCGGACTGATTTTGCAAACTAATATTTTCTTTCACCGGTGAGTTACAATTGCATTCATACCTTTCTCTGAGGAAGTTGGCATTGGCAAAGCAAAGTAAGCTAGAGTTGATGCCAAGTGTCAATAATCCTGGAGTTTTACTGGCCATGAGATACTGAACCACTTCACAAAACATATTTGTCCTTGGAAGTCTTCCAAATTGTCCAATGGCTGGTCCAATGGATTGCAACAATAACTTGACAAATGAGATAGCTACCTGCAATTTATACAAATTGATTCCTCTCCCATTTAATTAGTTTGAGTTTGTGGATTGTATGTAAAGATGAAAGAGTAATTGATTAATGGAGTATGACAGTGTAAGGGGATGGACAATAGTGATCGATTTGACGACAACAAATGAATTTTGAGATTAGAGATTTGTGAATTCGAGGTTATGGATCTATATATTTTAAAGATTTTAGGAATTTTTAAAAATTAATTTTTTAGTTTGTGTTTAGAAAAACAAAATAAATTAAAAGTTGTGACCATATTTCATACATTCGTTAGATGATGATATTTTTATGAACATTAATGGTTTGATTTTAAAATTATAATATAATAAAATACTAGATGCTTAAAAAAAAGTTGAACATCTAAACAAACATAGTTTGACCAACTATCAGTTGCTCTAGTGGGATGAAGCATTAAATCCTTTAAGCAAGGTCAGAAGTTCGAATCCTAACGATTGCGAAACAAAATTAGGAAGTTCGTCCTTGTCTCCTCAGTACCTAATCCGGATTAGTCGATGATTATACCAAAAAAAGTTTGGACGAATGATTTAAATAGTCGTATTGTTATCAAGAGATTCATGACTAATTATTATTATTAATAATTCTGGATAAATAATAAATTATTAGATATTATTATAAAATATTAAAATATTTAATTAACCAATGAAAACCATTTGCTTATCCAAGAGTACTGAGACTTCCTTCTTCTTTTCTTTTTTTTTTTTACTTTCATACGATTTGTTGTTCCACTTCCACATGAATCTCTTTTTAATATTTAATTATACTATATTTTTTTATTACGAACAACGAAGTATTCATTGGTAAAGAATTCAACATAAACACAGTACATGCAGGACAATTCTAGCTAAACACTCTCAACAAGTGAGAACATGGACCCATTCGAAAGAAAAACAATACATAAACAATAAACCAAAAATAACCATAATAAAATAAACAAGTCCACTATATCACAAGACTCTATTTCAAGCGAATCATTAAAAGCCATTAAAGTATGAGTTTTTAGCGGAGTTTTTGCTTAAAACGCCACTAAAGTATCAGGTTTTAGTGGCATTTGTCAAAAAAGCCACTAAAGTACTAGGTTTTAGCGGCGTTTGTCAAAAACGCTGCAATATATTTATCTTATTGCGAAGTTTGTTTAAAAACGCCACTAAAGAATGATTCTATTGCGGCGTTTGTTTAAAAAACGCCACGAAAGTACTAATCTTTAGCGTCGTTTGTCAAATAAACGTCACTAAAGTTCGAGTTTTAGCGTTTGTCAAATAAACGTCACTAAAATATGAGTTTTAGCGGCGTTTGTTGAAAAATGCCGTTAATGTTACCATTTAATGGCGTTTTGAATATAAACGTCGCGATATGCACAAATTTAGTGGCATTTTATTTGAAAACGCCGCGACAAACGCCGCTATATACATGTTTTGTTGTAGTGCTCCCAATAGGGTATCAATACTAACCTATTGAGTATCCATACTCTTTGAGTATCGATAGCAAACCTAACATCGATGCTTGGATAACCATCTTGGTTTCAAAATCATATGTAACACCCCAAAATTTGAAATCTGAATCCTAATCCAACCGATCAAGTGTGATTTCTCGATTAATTATTATTTATTTGATATTAAATGATTTTTTATGTTTGAAAGCATTTGATTAATTTTTTTTTTATGAAATCCGATTTTCCGAGCATGTTATCAATTAATATTCTGAATTATTTTATATCGAGTATCTCATAATGATTTTGAATATCGAATGATTATTATAAAATTATTTCGAATATCAAGTAAATATTTAAGCAGTTATTTATTTATACACGTGTACTCGATTTCAAATTAAAGTGAATGTATATATGAACATATTTGTGAAGTATTATATATCGAGTTAGTGACTCGTAATTATTCTAGAAATAATGAGTGAATATTTCGTGATGATTCATTTATATATTGATTGGTTGATTTTAAAATAATAAATATTATTATTTTATTTAAAAAATTGGTCTCTATATATATAAGATATATTTGGGGGTTTGGGTATAAAACCCTAATTCTATTTTGGTTCAATAATTTTAAGTTAAAATCCCCTACTATAAGTTAATAGCCACAACTCAACTATTTTGGTTCACTGGAATAGTAAAATTGGTGAGAGCGCTTTGCCCAACTAGATCACCTTTCCAACCCTATCAAGGTGACCCAGTAGCAGCCCTAGCCAACACCAAGCACCCAGGCAGCAATAGCATCTCTCGGTGGCCTCCACTACCAGCATCCTTACTCAGCTAAACTTAGCCATAACAGGACTGCCTTAGCGTCGAAGAGCCCATCATGACACTCGTGTGTCAGTGACAACAACCACGAATGACCATGTAACACTCACAGACTAATACGAGTGACCCGATCCGATCTGAGGTGTCACATTAGAGTCACCGGAGCGACCATCGTAAAAATCCCAGAAAATTTAATTTTTTTTGTTAAAACGTGTAAAATCTTAAAACAATTTATAAACATAACAGTAAAATTTAACAATATTCAGAAATAAAACGAATTTCATACTCGGATATAAAAACAAAATACAAGCTACATGCACCCTACTCCGCAAGAAACGTCGATGGAACTCTCTTACTGATGTCGATAGTTGCACTGGTTCAATCCTTTTAATCTGAAAAGGTGAGTAACAGAGTGAACTTTGGGAAGCTCAGTAATACAAAACTACCAGATGATGTTGAAGGACATGCAGATAACAAATACAGACTTTTATGCTGAGCTAAGGTCCCACTGATATCTCAGATAATACAAGACAATAATCTTTCAGTTCAGAGGGTAATATTTTGGATAACTGGGTTTAGGAGATCAGAATAGGGTGTCTAGTGTGTTCCCACAAAACCAGTGAAAAGATACAAATCTTTTTAAAACAGTAGCAGTTTAAAACGTATTTTTCAAAAACCATAGTAAAACCCTCAAACTGAACATCATATGCAGTTCCTCAGAACTGCATAACCTAAGGGAGCACCTTGGGGCCTGAGAGCCTACCGAAGAAAGATTCTCGGATCCTACCTAAGAAAAATCACAGAACCGCAAGGCCTACCCAAGAAAGATCTTAGGGTCGCAGAGCCTACCCAAGGGTCGCCTTAGGTCCATAAGGAATTACCAGTCGGTGCTGGACCTAAACAAGGAATTACTAGCAGCGACTGAACCTGCCAGAGTCTTTAATCATACCAGAGTACCATGTATAAAAATAATTTCAGTCAATAAACAGAGATATAAGAAATCAGAGCAGAAATCAGAGCAGAGATCAGAACAGAATTAGAGAAAACATCCATGTGATCAGGGAACACACTAGAGGTTCCAGATATTATTCGAAGGTACTTAATAATCTTATCGGGCAGGGAAACATAGATCTTCAGTATACTTATATAATGATGGGAATTAGAATCACTATCGAAAGAGTTCATTAGCTGACATAATCATCAGTTATTCAGAACATGATTTATCAATATCATAAAGTATTCATACATTTTTTGGAGACACTATGTAATCAAAAAGGTATTCAGAGTCCTTTTGTTTTCAGATATGACAAGAGTGATTCCATTATTCAGGAAATCAGAGGCATTTTGGGCATTAGGTTCTTAGAGAATTCTTAGTGATTTGAGCTGATAAGGGAAAAAATGAAGATTCAAGGCATTTACGATTTGTGTCAATCTATAGAAAAATATCGAGTTAACTCGAGTTGTACAAGTCCCTGCAATGATACTTGTTAACCGGTCAAATAGTTGCACTTCAAGGGTATTCACTCTTTAATACAAATAACTATTGTCCATTGATCATCTTCAGAATCATAGATGAATGGGTCTTAGGGAGACAAACAAATATTCCAATGGTCTTTATTTTATTTCTACATTGCAACGATATAAAGAAATGTCGACGTGCTTGATTTATAGTTCATAACCCTTAGGGACAGTACATCATGTAAGTTCATCAATGTTTCCAGACTTATCCAAGTCACTCACTTAATCTTAAGTCATTGAGGTTACTTACGTCATTTAGTAGTCAAGTTTATCTCGGTCACTTCAGAGTTTCCAGAGTAATTCTATTTTTTCCAAAATTCAAATACATACAATACTTCCATTCCGTTTATCTTGTTCATATAATATAGTCATATTGGTATACGAGGTTGATTTGTTCATTTCAGAGCTGAGGGTATTTAGTTATTCCATAGCTTGGACGTGTTTCGAATTATATTACACTTAGGGGCATTCCAACTAAATCAGGAATTTAATCGGTGATTCCAAGATTCAAGGGTATTATCATCATTTCATTCAATTCCGTTAGTGGCATTACTTCTAATAACTTAGGCTTGAAAGTATTCTAGTTCCTTTAGAGTTCAAGGTACTTTGCTCAATTGATCACTGGAGATTATTTTCACCACTAGGGGAAGTCTTGGTCCTTTTTCAGTACAAGGGCATTTTTGTAATTTTACCACAAAGTGCTATTTTTGGTAATTTCGTATCCAAATAATCCAGGAATTTAACCTTTAAAGAAAATTTATCAAAATTTACGGATCTTAAAATCAATTCATTTATTATTGAATCACTAAACTTATTATTATTATTTCCGTTTGATCTTCCAGTTTCTTACGCAAGTCATATGAGTCATATTCGATTACCGAATTTTTATTGTATTCGAATCGAGTTTAAGAATAATTTACTATATAGATGAAACCAATCATATTCATCCTTGTATCTACCAATTTCTAACATGGTCTATAAAGCATGCATAAGGTATAAATGTATTACCTCGATTTTTATGCCATATTAGTCAACCATTTAAACTTCATTTGATCGCCCTTGAACTTGAATCCAACATCCAATAATTTCTTGGATACAAAGCAAACGAATTTACGTCAAAAACTAAACTTAATTGAGAAACCAACTTGAATCCGAAGATAAATCATTGAAAAACAGCTTACTGGACGCGAATTTGACAAAATGGACTTCAGATTCAGATTCGGGATGTCAAAAAACATAAAATATGACATTTTCGAAAAAGTTAACTTTTGGGTCAAAGTCAACAGGTCAAAGACAACGGGTTGACTTGTACGGGTTAACTTAGTCAGGTCAAACAGACCCGGTTTAGACCGGTTCAAGAAATTTCCTGGACTGGTGGAGGAGCCCCATGCGCACTGCCGAAGCGTGCGACGGTGACGTAGGCAGTTCCAGGCGGTCGATTACTCCAATCGAAAACCAACACAATTATCAATCCAAAAACACTCCAAACACTAGCCAAAACATGAAGAAAATAAATTAAATAATATAACCAAATGCTTACCACGACGGACGGTGAATGGGCAATAGTGGGGCGACGAACCCAGTCGGGTTTTGGTCACACAAAGTTAGGGATTTTGATGCTTGAGGCGGTGAGACAGATCGATGAGTGGGGTGGCCAGAATTGTCGAAGAAAATGAAGCGACGAGGGGTTTCGGCGTCGACTTCTTCTCTTGATTCGACAAAACGGTAGTCGATATTGATGAGCAACGGATGGGGTTGGGTTGCAGGAGGATGTCAGAGCTGCTGGTGGTGCCGGAGCTCGGTAATGGTGGTCGAAGTTGGTGGATTTGGGGAGTGTGGTGGCTAGGGTTCCCAAATTGGTAATTTGGTATAATTTGTGGTTTTGGTGAATTTTCGGGTATCACAGGGGGCTTATTTTTCACTGCCCAATAAAAATGGTATAATTTAGGTTTAAGTCCCTGAATTTCCCACAAGTTCCAAAATCATGCTGCAACATTTAAAAATTTATGATTTTATCCCCAATTTCTCCCTTGTTACGACTATAATCCGATACTTAGTATTATTATAATTTAGCCCCTAAATTGGGGTGTGACAAACCAACCCTTGCCCACAACAAGCTCGTCGATGATAACAACAACAATGAACGAATGATGGCGTGTACTCCTCGTAAGCAGTATGTGTACACCTGCAACAAACTAAACCAAGATCAACTAAACAATAAGGTAATAACAAAGCATAAGGTAAAGAAAAGAAAATACCGATGAACTCGAGGTTTCTCATTCTAGGCAATTTCTATGTCGGGTTAAAAATTTGTAAGGTGAGATTTCTTCTCTCGATGCCGGGAAGCAAATAAGTGAACAGTGGTGCCATCAGACAGTTGTCAGCAACGAACAAAGGTGTTTTTACTTCAAAACTGAATAGTTTTTGCTAGATCTACGAAAACCAATGATGTATTTAGATGATTAGAGGTCAAATTCATGCTCAGAGTGACCAAAAACTCCATCCTAAGAAGTTGGCTTTGGGAGACCACTGGTGGTGACGACAAGTATAGTGGTTGGCGATGATCATCAGAGTCTATGATCAGTCGAAATCTGGGTTCTTTAGTAGGGGAGAGAATATCAATAAAGGATACAAGAAAAAAGGAAATGAAATAAGAGAAATGGGAAAAAGGCTTCAATTTATGGTATTTATATGCCGATCTAAAACTATTGTGCATAGACAAGACATTTGAAAGGCCCACGTGATCAATCAGAGCTAAGATTTGACGATCATACCTATTTAGCATACTGACCTACGAGTAATCATAATAACCATATGATTGCCACTATTAGCTAATGTCACTATATATACATATGAACTACGATTGAGGGAAGGGGCTTTTTCACCATCTCCTTTATTGTGATTCTATCTTTTCATTATACATTTATTTGTCTTACAAAAAAACATCGACCAAGTTGTAGTTCTCCACATAAATCAAAAGGGATGAACCATTAATGATCAAAAGATAAATTGATTCTATCAGCAAGACCGAATACATTTTAATATAAAACACTACAGCAAAACAGGTTTTTAGCGGCGTTTTTTAAAAACCTTTGTGGCGCAAAAACAAACGCCGCTGAAACAAGCGTCGCAAAAGGTAGCGGCGTTTTTCGTTCACAAACGCTGCTGAAGGTGATGTTTTTTAGCGGCGTTTTTTACAAACGCCGCTAAAGGTAATGATATTTAACGGCGTTTTTATTACAAACGTCGCTAAATGTTATGATATTTAGCGGTGTATTTTCCAAACGCCGCTATTTATCTTTTCTTTTGTGGCGTTTTGTGCCAAAAACTCCGCTAAATGTCTTGGCATATAGCGGCGTTTGTTCCCAAAAACGCCGCTAAATGTTATGTCATATAGTGGCATTTGTGAATGTAAAATGTCGCTATTGACTATGTATTTAGTGGCGTTTTCTATACAAACGCTGCGAATTAAAACTAATTTTTCAAATGATGTTTTCTACTCTTTTGTTACCCAAATTTAACATGTAAACCATTATCCAATAAACTTAACATCCATAACAACAAACTTGAAATCCATAACAAGATACTTAAAATCTATAATAATAAATCAAAGTTTACATTAACGTAAATATAATGTCGTTCAACATTGTTAACTAGAATAAACAATAATAACACCTAAGATGGTGGACTCGGGGGTTGATTTTGTCGTATCATCTGCATCATAGCTTGAAGTTGATTTTGAAAGTCTTCACATTTTTTCTGATATGTTGCTTCTCTCTTTGCTTCCCTTGCTTTAGTTCCGACTCCATTTTGATATTTGTCGCTTACCCTTGAAAAATCATCCTTGACATATACAGGCTGCAAAAGAAGGAAAAATAAGAGTACTAAAAGAAATTTATGAACTAAATTATGGAAACTGAAAATTATGCGTCTGAAAATTAAAATCTTAGTTTAGACTTTAATAAGATAAAATTGTTTCAGTTTTCAAACTTTTTTATAAACAAGTATATTATGTAAAAGGGTGGTGATTCCAGTGTGACCAACACTCTTAAATAGAATCCAATGACCCTTTTAAATCTTTCTTTTCTGATGTCTCCTCTCAGTTCCCTTTAATAGAATTTCTATTTGCAAAGAATAAGTAATATTGTTTTGAAGCAGTTTGCTTCATCATAAGGATCAGTGACACAAATAAAGTCACAGGAGATTTAATTAAAGGCATGGTTTGAAGACCCACTCACTTAATGTTTTATTCACTGATCTTGTCAAACTATTTGGACACGGGGGTCATTCCACTGGAACAACAAACCAGAGATGCTGGAATAGCAGTATGGACAAACTAGATGTCAATGGATTAGTACATTTTGTATGCAGAACAAAAGAAAATGAAGGATAAAACTTCACAAAACTTGTACAGAACATTCAGAGAATAATATAGAATAAAGATGAACTTGGATTGTGATATTTATTTCACTGCATAGAACAGGAATTGGCATCATAAAAGAACTTTTCATTACTTACATTTTTTGGCTACACACCTAGAGACACATTGAACCACTTTTTAGGTAAAATATTTGGGTAATGAAAATAGAGGGAAGATTAACAAATCATCTAACTTTGGTCAGAACACTTCTCTCTTTCTCTCTCTTGACATTTTATTTTTGTCTGATTATGCTAAAATCTAGTTCTATTAGGTGCTATACCAAAGATCTAACACTTCCTTTATATTCTGTCTAGCCTTATTTAAACCTTCTACTTATGACATTCATATATACATAACAGGTGCATCGCTACAGGTAACTCAAGGGCGTTGCCATTTGATGAAATTTACACCCAAAATTATTTTTTTAAGAAAATTATTTTGTAAATTTAATATAAAAATATGAAAAATAAAATTGACACCCCTTTAAAATAATATTGACACCGCTCTAAAAATAAATGACACCGTACTATAGATTTCCTGGCTCCACCCATGTGATAACTAAAAGTGACTTCTCAGTAAATAATGGACCAAAAACAAATCAAAGAAGAAGAAGAAGAAGAAGAATAAATAGTGCGTACCATCAGTTACAGCAGAAATTGTCTCCACAGGTGTTGATTCTTTTTTTGATTCAACACAAGAAAAACCTACGATTCAAAGTTCAAAGATGTTTAATATTTAAAATGTTGTGAGATAATAAAATAACAAACGCTGGAGTGCAAACAGGCCAGAAAGGTTACCTTTCAACTACAATGGTTTCACTACAAAGCCAAAAACAACAAATGGTAACATTAACAGTGCCTCTCCCCAGAATGCATAGCGCCAGTTAAGATGTTCCCCAACCTAAGTAAAAACATTTTTTGATTAATTCTCTAACATCCAGCAGACGTATCTGTACAGTAAGAACAAGACGGAAAATAAAGTGAGAAAGAACAAAAAGGATATACAAACTCACTAGTCCACCATAAACATATCCAACAGCAATTCCAGTGGGTATGCACATATAAAATGTTGCAAGCCAGGCAGTTCTCTGGAGTATGATAGAGAATTAACATGATTGATAGTGTAGTGTACGCGAGAGGATAGGTTTTCAAAGTTAGGAACAAGACCTGAGAAATGGGAGCATTGTCGTCAATAAATGGACCTGCAAGACTTATGAAAGAAGCTTCTCCAACACCAACCAGCCTTAAACATCAAAATCCAGCCACAATTTTTTAAGAACAAATAATATTCGAAGAAGCAAGACTAATATTTGAAGCCCTGATAGCCATACTTCTCTCTATCTAGTATGAATGAGGCGATATTATATAGATGCATACATTTATAACAGATTCTTTTCTAGTGGGTAAGCCACAATGTTCACTTTCCATATTCTTTCTATCAGAGCAATCCATGTAAATACTAATATGTAGCTCTTCCATTTATTATTCTTTTTTTATAATTAAATTTCCAACAAACATCGATGTTCTTTATACAATCAATAACTACTTGTACAAAACATTTTAGTCAGTCCTTAACAATTCAAAACCCATTATTATTGCTAAATTGTGTAATTCCAACTTAATCGCAGGAGCATGGTTGTGTAGAGAGAAGTAAAATGTAAAACTGTGATGTGTTACACAGATGTTAAGTTAAAAATACAGGAAATATTGTGATATGTATGAACTTTTAGTTGGTAGACAACAATATGAATAATTTATTCACATTTTACAGGTCCTACAAGTTGAGATATGCAACAGATGTTTGAAAGTTCATCAGAAAACAAATTATCAACTATTTTCACTGTGTGCATCTCTAGATTTGACTTTTTCCCCCTACAATCAAGGCCTTTGGGTATTTAGTCTAGTGACTTGCTCAACTAACACCAATTGTTTAAACATTCAACATTCATCTCACTTGTAAACCTTTATATATATATGAACGAACTGTTCAAAGCATCACCAAATCAGACCTCGCATTAACTAGTCAAAACAGAATATTTCACCTTAACGAAGAAAACCAACAAAATAAAATCCACTATATAGCTCAAATATATATATAAAAACAACCCCGAAGAAAAATTAAATAAATCCCAGAAAAAAGTGAAAGATATTTTCAAAAATTTCTTTACCATTTCTCACCAAATCAGACCTCGCATTAACTTGGCAGCTGGCATACAACTAGCTGTAAAACAAGCAATAAAAGTTAAGGCTCTACTAGTACTAAGTTCACTAGTCATTATAAACACTTTCAGTTTATATACACTTAACAGAAACCAAACCATCGATAAAGCCATACTTCATTTCTGATTAGAACATGCATACAGAACAAGGTGCATGCATAAATGTGTTTGAAGTAAGGAACACAGAGGAATAAATTTGAACATTACTTGGCGTGAATAATGCTCAGCATCCCTCTTCATGGAAGCCATTTGAACCCTCAATTTCTGCATTTCAGCCTACAGCCAAACAAAGAAAACAAAATAGCCTTACTATTATTCACAATATATGCTCATGGCACCAAGGAGAAAGTCTGAGTTGATTCACGTTGAAAAGCGAATAGAGCTGGACATAACAAAAAATCTTTTGGATGATAGTGGTAAGAGAGAAATTCAAATCTAAACAATGATGAGAATCATAATTCAAGATTCGAATTGTCTAAATACGAAGACACAATTTCTCTACAAGCTTCAAAACCTGACTTTCTAACACGGAAACCCCAATCCTACAGCAAAATCTGACATGATAATTTTACAAACCACTTAAAGCTTATCTCAGTACTGATCTATTTGTTACTAAACATACTATAAGCTATAGTCATTTCTAATTTATAGCAAAACTTAATAAGAATTAAGGATGAATTATAGATCAACTATAAGCATTTTTATTTCCAACGCAGGCTAAAATCACTACAAAATAAACAAATCAAGCAAACAATTTTAACCACTTCCATAACCAGAAATGGGCATATAAAAACCCTAAAATGTAGTAAAATTTACTAACCGGGCCTTTCAAGATTCAAATTGGTTTGACGAAGAACCATTTTGCCAAAAGAAAAAATGACACTCAAGCAAGAGTGAAACCAATCAACAAGAGCAGAAGTAACAAGAGCAAAACCAACAATCAATTTATCGCAATCAATTTCCAAAAGAAAAAGAGAGAGGCAAAAACCCTAATTCGAAAGACAAGAAAATTTTCGTATAACTAATTAGATAGAAAAAATAGTTTTAGAATTTACAGATGGAGAGCCTCGAGGAACTTGTCGTGTTCGGGTTCAGTCCAGTTCTCTCTAGACTTATATCTCATTTTGCTTTCGGTCTAAATGTATTGGGAGTAACTCAGACTGTAGTGGCACGGGAGGCAGAGCGCTGAGAGCAGTGGCAGTGGTGGTGAAGCAGGAAATTTGAATTAAGTGGTGGTGAAGTAGATAGGGAAGAGAGAAGATGAAACATGTTTATTTTTCAGAAAAGGAGGGAGCGAGAATGAAAAAAATAGGTTAAAGGGAAACTTTAAACTTTAGCGGCATTTGTGTTTACAATCGTCGCTAAAGTATGAGTCTATAGCAGCGTTTTTAAACACAAACGCCACTAAAGTACGAGTCTATAGCGGCGTTTGTATAAAAACGCCACTAAAGTACGTGTCTATAGCGGCGTTTTTATAAAAATGCCGCTAAAGTACGTGTCTATAGCGACGTTTGTATAAAAACGCCGCTAAATTGCGTGTCTATAGCGGCATTTGTATAAAAACGCCGCTAAATTATGTGTCTATAGTGGCGTTTGTATAAAAACGCCAATTAATTACGTGTCTATAGCGGCATTTATTTAAAAACGCCGCTAAAGTTCTACTAAGTCACGACGTTTGTTTAAAAAATGCCACTATGGATGAACCTATTGCGGCGTTTGTATAAAAACGCCACTAAAGTACTACTTTGTTACGGCATTTTGTATAAAAACGCCGCTAAAGTTATCAATTTGTGGCGTTTGGAGTGTAAACGCTGCTATATGTTTAAAAGAAAACAGTAATAATTGTTTAATACCAAAGTTTCAATGTATATAGTAATCAAACCCTAAATAAGAGAAACTCAACCAATTCAGCTCCTTTGTAGCAACAAAGCTTGATTTCGATATCTCTAAGAACACACACAAATATGTACTGTGAGAGTGGTTCAGAATTTGATCTCAGCCTCTTGGAAACTATTCGTCAGTATCTTCTGGAAGATGATTTCGATACGTTTCCAAGTCCAGCACCGTTTGTTGAAAATGTAGCGGAAAATGATGCGATTAATGTTGATCAATGGATAAGCTTTGATCAGTTGTTTGAAGCGGCGGAGGACACGGTTGCTGTTAATAATGTTTCGTTTTCCAGTTCCGAAGTGACTTCTGAGGTATTGGAGACTACTCCGACTGCGAGTGTGTCTGAATCTCACGCGCCGCCGAAGAAGGTACATTATAAGGGAGTTAGGAGAAGGCCGTGGGGGACGTATGCGGCGAAGATAAGGGATCCGAAGCGAAACGGTGCGAGGATCTGGCTTGGTACTTACTCGACTCCCGAGGATGCTGCTCTGGCTTATGACATAGCGGCTTTTAAAATGCGAGGTGCGAAAGCGAAACTGAATTTTCCACACCTCATCGGCTCCGATCAGGTGGAACCGGTCAGAGTAACCAATAACAAGTGAAGATCTCCGGAGCCGTCTTCCTCTTATTCATCAGCTCAGTTTCCGTCATCTCCGTCGTCGATGATCTTCAAGTGATCGTTGATGACATTCAATTAAATTTGTTAATTTTATCTAATTATTCCTATGGTTGTACTTGACTGACCATCTTCCATTATTTACTTTCACCTTGACATTGGAAGATATTCAAAACTTCAGTAAAAAAACACAATATATTATATTGGATGATGTTAATTAATTATATATAATTGCTGGCAAGGACCTTTGTCTTTATAACATTAACATTAGTAAGTACACTTAACACCAACAACTATAAATAAATATAAAACGTAATAGTGACTTTTGTTTTATCAGTGTTAAATTTTTGTCACTAAATTTAAAAAAGTAATATTTTACTCATTTAAATTATTAGTTTGATAAGAGGATGCTAGCTCCAGAGGCGGAGTCTCTGTTGGCTGATGCGGGACCTGCTCATCCGCCATCCGGAGGTACCGAATCAGTGCTATCACCTACGGAGAAGTTGTCTTGCTTTATTAAGAGCAGGAAAACGAGACCAGCTAAAACACTCATCAACTACTTATGGTAGGGATATAAGAGTCTGCCTAATTTCATTTCCGATGGCAAAGATTTGTCTCTTTCCCGCTCCCTCAATCACCACCCCCAACCTCCCCCCAAAATCACCCTGATATTCAAACGTGGGTTGTTTTGGACCTACCCAACGCTCAAAGCAATCAAGATCTTTATTGGCCGTCTCAGTCTTAGTCGGGTCAAAGGCAAAACAAAACGTACCCTCTTCCTCCACAGCACTGCCGACGAAAAGAAGGCTTCCTGTGCATGGTCTAATCTGAGCATTGATCCATAAGTAGCAAGCTCATAAGTTATACTAAGAAAGCTGAGGGAATCATTTTGAAAAAAAATAAATAAAAATGCCTCAATTGGATAAATTAACTTATTTTTCACAATTCTTCTGGTTATGCCTTTTCCTCTTTATTTTCTATATTTCAATATGCAATGATGGAGATGGAGTACTTGTGACTAGCAGAATTCTTAAACTACGGAACCAACTGCTTTCACACCGGGGGAACAACATCCGAAGCAAGGACCCCAAGAGTTTGGAGGATATCTTGAGAACAGGTTTTAGCACCGGAGATTGCTAGCAGGGATCATTTTCCATCAAGAGTGAGAAGCGGAATCAGAATGACAGGCTACGGATGCGGCTTGCAACTCCTACTCGAGCTTATGAACCTATTGCGTACCCTTGCACTTGGCTACTCCTAAGGGCAGTATCAAAGATAAGGGGTTCAAGCCGTATTAGTTTTGATTAGGTATGCCGGTCATTAGAAGGAACAACACCATAACAAGATTCCTCGTGTATCATCTGTAGCAAAACTATGAACGGGAGCTAGCAATCCGGACCGTATTGAAAAGGTTCCCAAGACACTGCATGGAAAAGTCACTATGAAAGCACAATATAACTCGCTGGAAAAGAACGGCAATAAAATGAGTAAGTTTTAATTTCAACTTTAAATTTTAGATAAAATATTAATTTAACTCATAAACTCGATCAAACTCTTTCATCGCAGTCCGCCGCCCACCACCATCATAGGTCACTTTCGGTTGCGATCGTCATAAAAAAAATGTTTGGAACTCCATAAATATAACCTAAAACCTTTAACTTCATTCAAGACACTATATATTTAATTATATATCATAATCAAATTCATAAATTTTTTGTTTATAACTATATAGATTTAGATAAAATATTAATTTGAATAAAATATTTCATAATATTATAAAATAATATTAATTAATTAATTTTAAATCATAATTGTAAGAGAAAATAACCTCAGTGACCAAAAATGCCTTATAATATACGATTTTAACCAACTTTTTTTGGATTTGCCAAAATGACCAACTAAATCGCAATGCGATCGATAATTCGCAACGCGATCTCCGGTATCGCAAATCAGTTTCCAGATTCGCAACGCAATTCTGACTATCGCATTGCGATTTCCCAAATTCGCGTTGCGATTTTCCTAATTCGCAATGCGATTACGTAAATCGCAATGCGAATACGTAAATCGCAATGTGAATCTGACTATCGCAATGCGATTTACATAGCGACATTCGTATTAACGCGTATTTTTTTTCAAATTCCAAACACGAATATATTAATATATCGGAACACTGAACCGTCCACAGTATATCCCGTAATCGTAACTCATAACCTAAAACCCTAAATCACAACTCAGTCTCATCTCCATCTCTCACTCTCTAAGACAACATCCGTCCCCATCTCCGACGAAATCAGTCCCCACAACAATAACAGTCTCCATCTCCGGTGAAATCATTCACGGTCAGAAATGGAAAATCAACCAAATCAACCACCGAGGGTTAGTTTTTTTAATTATTTTTATTTTGAAATTTTTGCATTATTATTAGGTTTTTCATATTGAAATTGATGATAAGTTTACTGGTGTTTTCAATAATAGATTAACCATTTCACTTAGATTGCTTATTATATTCATTCGATTACTGCCAATACTGCTAAACTGTTTAGTCTTTAACCCTGTGAAGTTAGTATTTGTCTTTTGGTTGAAGTAATGCAATCCATTCAAGTTTCTTTCAATTTTAGTATTTGAAACCGAGAATGACTATCGCAACGCGAAAATGACTATCGCAATGCGAATTTGACTATCGCAACGAGAGAATCGCAATGCGATTTTCATTTCGCGTTGCGATTCTTGCATTGCGATAGTCAAATTCGCGTTGCGATAGTCATTTTAGTGTTGCGATTTTCATTTTCGTGTTGCGATTTAAAGTTTCAGAAACTATTCTTCTTCTGCAAATTGAAACTTGAATGAATTGCATTACTTCAACCAAAAAACAAATACTAAATTCACAGTGTTGCAAATTTAAGTCTGAAGAATAAACTACTACTCTTTATGTTTATTGTCCATATCTTCACAGTGTAGTTTTTGGTATATCTAAATTGGTATGTTTATGTTTTTTGTAGAACTTTTATTCGGCTCAATTGACCTTAAGAAATAAAGTAAGCCTGGCCAAAACAATTGCGTCGAAGCTTTCACATGCACAAAGAAAAATATTTGAGGATACTTGCTTCGGGCCATGGCTGAAAGTACAACATCCAGGTGGAGATGCTATGTTGACCCATCTGTTTCTTCAAACCATGACTAGTAATCTACCAGAGACTATACAACGTCGTGATGAAGAGATATGGTTTGATTTTCCACCGGCTTATACGTGTTTTGGGCGGGAGGAGTTTTGCTTAATCACCGGTCTACGCTTCGGACACGATGATGTAGATCGGTACACTAGACATATTACCCCCTATCATGGTTTTCCCGGGTTTTTCCTGAGCAGTCAACGGAGAAGTCGAATTTACACGTGGAAGACTTGACGAGATTATTGAATAAGAAAGATGGTTTTACTCGGATGGATGACATCGATGTTGTCCGAGTATGCCTTCTAATACTTTTGCAAGCCGGATTTTTAGGCAGAGAGGCCCGACAACCTATTCCTAATGATCTAATTAAATTGGTAGATGACCTAAATGCATGGAACCTGTTTCCGTGGGGTTCGTATCTATGGAGAGCTACATGGAATAAGTTGTCGTCTGCCTTTAATGATCGGAAAAGTTTGCATGGCGATGGTTCCAAATACACTTTGTCAGGCTTTATTTGGGCCTTTAAGGTAATAATTTTTATATAATGTTTCCAAAATTATAATTAATTTTTTAACAGTTACTAATGTTTGTTATTATATTGTTTTTAGATTTGGATATTTGAGGTCTTTCCCGCCATGTGGACATATGCATTAAAAACTTCTAATGATATTCCTAGGGCTATTTCCTGGAAGAGGAAACGGTCCTTGCAGCAATGGGAAGATTTACTACCGCATACTACAATAAATAATGTAAGTTAACACAAATACTACCATATGTTTATAAACAAGTTATTAATAGTACACGTTTAACTTTGTTTGAGCTTTCATATTATTAGGAGGCCAACACTCCATTACAGAGGCTGACAGCCACAGAAGCTGAGCTTGCCACTGATTGGTGGCAACCTAGTAAGCTTTTTTTTATGGCACGGATGATGAGCAGCCACCACTTCGAGAGCCATCACCTCACCCAGAGCCATCACCTGATCGACCCGAATATACACCTCCACAACGAGAGTCATCACCTATTCTGTCACATCATCGAGCCTCTTCTCCACCATCACCTCATGATAGGCGACCGGCAAAGATGCCACGACGTTTATCTCCCTGTTCTCCACCTCCACGGGATGAGTTAGGGGAGTTACGTAATGAGGTCAATGCCTTGCGTGAGGAGGTCGGTACTTTACGCGATGACAATGGTGCATGGCGTGTTGAGGTGTCTACTTTACGTGGTGAGGTAGCAGCTCTACGTGAGATTGTAGCATCGTTGCATAACGAGGTTCATACTCTACGCAACGAGGTAAGTTTAATATTTTTCATATTTAACTTGATGATAAATTTACTCGTAATTTCACTTAGATTGCTTAGTAAATTCATTCGGTTGCTGCCAATACTGTTTAACTGTTTATTCTTTAACCCTGTGAAGTTAGTATTTGTTTTTGGTTGTCTTTTGGTTGAAGTAATGCAATCCATTCAAGTTTCAATTTGCAGAAGAAGAATAGTTTACTATCGCAATGCGAAAATGACTATCGCAACGCGAAAATGACTATCGCAACGAGAGAATCACAATGCGAAAATGATTACCGCAATGCGAAAATGACTATCGCAATGCGAAAATGACTATCGCAATGCAAATTTAACTATCGCAACGAAAGAATCGCAATGCGAAATGAAAATCGCATTGCGATAGTCAAATTCGCATTGCGATAGTCATTTTCGCATTGCGATAGTCATTTTCGCATTGCGATAGTCATTTTCGCATTGCGATAGTCATTTTCGCATTGCGATATTCATTTTCGCGTTGCGATTTTAAGTTTCAGATTCTAATTCTTCTTCTACAAATTGAAACTTGAATGAATTGCATTACTTCAACCA